TTTTTTTTTTTAATACCATCATTCCAAGTTAAACGCGGAATTACGAAAGAAAATCAAAATATACTTAAAACCATAAATAATTTTTTTCTGAATATATCGAAACGTAAAAATCGAAATTCGAGACAGTAGTTATGGTTCAAGTGTTCAACGTTTAAATAAAAAGTGCATTTATAAAGGATGCGTTGAAAAATGTTGCTCTACTACTATTCCACTCATTCAAACGTTAAATACTCGTAAAAAGTATTTTGAGATATTTTAGCTAATGGTAGTAAAAATTATTCATAAAATGTAAACATTATTATTTTTATTGCTACTATTATATATTATATGTATTTATAATATAATGTAATTAATGCATTTCAATACGGTCGTTAAAAATGTATTCAAATTAAAAATTTGAAGCGCTTAAAAAAAAAACAACATAACTAGCTCCTTCTAATTATAACTATTATTATATTAAACAACATATTATATATTAAGTTCTTAGAATATAAATTTGTTTATTTTATAAAATCCATAAAAATATATCATTATACGAAAATAAATATAAATTTCAGTAAACAATTTCATTCAGAATACCATTAGCGGAAAATACATTTTCATAAGAATAGTATCACCTTAGTGTTCTAATAAATAATAAAATCAAAAAAAACATACTTTTTAAAAACAATTATTTTTATTTGTTTTTTAATTTATTATTATCAGATTTAGGTAAATCTGAAAATAGCATAATTTCGACCACTCTTTTTTCCCGTTGATTTTAGTTTCAAACTAGTTGTAAAGAAATTAATTACCTCTTTTTTTTTATTTAAGGCGAATATAAAACAAATCAAGAGAGGCACGATTATTGAACAAACACATCTTAGCACCAATTTATTATTTTACGTTGTCATTTATTAATAATGATCAGTTCACGTACGAGAACGGTTTAAGTGAACACGAAAACACATATATAATATAAAAAAGGTACCTCTAAAGAAAAAAAAATATTAATTATTATAATTAATAACCAAAAGAAAAGAACCGAAAAATAATAACACCACAGTCCAAATCTTGTTCTATTTAACAATATAATGACTATGCGGACGAACATACGCACATTAATAAAACGACTAATAGTCTTTTGTTTTTCGGAGTAAAACGTATAGATAATTACATTCAAATTAATATCATGCTGCATTACGTTCTCCAAACGTAATAACTTTTTATGAATATAAAAAAAACCAAGTAACAACAGTACAGTGATGTCGGTCGGGTAATAGGTGGTGATTTTTCATCAGGTAGCAGTGATGTTTAGGGTGTGAATGTAAACGATTTGTTGTCAAAAAAAATCTCTTCAATTTTCACATAATCCATCATTAGACAATTACGTTACAATTACACGAGTCTAAGCGTCTGCCCAACACTGTAAATAATTATACCCTATAAAAACATACGAGTGCACAAAGCCGAAAACGTTGAAGAGTATTTTAAGTACTATACTTCAGTATACAGGTAGGTACGTACATTACAATAAACACGCGAGTGTATAATATTACGGTGTACATATGGTATACGCAGGCACAATAAATGTGTACCTATCTAAAGTTCGATGTATACAAAGTATATATTTGAGTATGTCGAGTAAACCATACACTGCGTTATAAAATATATATTTATATGGTAATAAATTACATACTATAGTGCAGAATCGCAATCGTAATATTATAACCGTTTTGGTTCCGAAAAAAAATAATAATAATAAGCACATAATGTGGACGTGCTAATAGTGCATTCGGCTGATGCGGCACAGCGGTAGTGAACATTAAAATGGATAACTATATAACTTTTGCGGGCACCGAAGAATCTTCTAAAATTTAACTTCGAAAAATGAAATTGCCAAATGTGTACGACCATTGATCATGTGTACCTGCACGAGACGCACGCGTTCTTAAACACTGTTATTTGACCATTGCCGTTTAAGGTATGCACCTGCTATGTCCGTAATTGTTTTCTCCATCCCATTTCTCTCTCCTTCACTCGCTCTCTTCCACCACCGTCTTTCACTATTTTTTCGTGTCCACACGTATAAATGATACATGTGTGCACGTGCGAATACACGTACCTGTACACTGTTTGTAACAGCAGCACCACGTGTGGTGCATAGGAATCAACGGCGATAAAACGTAATGACCGTTGGCTTAAAAACTTGTACGAGACATTTTTGCGCGCATACTTGGTGGAAGCGTGCTTTTAATTAATGGCCGACGGTCGCCGGAGCCACACGCGCGGTATTCCGGCTATGTTGGCACAGGTGAAAAAAAATCGGTCCCGCGATGCAGACGTTCGCAATTGTGGTTTGAGTATTGTTTACAAATTTCGTGGATACCGACAATTGTTATTTTATTCCGATCGTTTTTTCATTTTTATTTTTTGCTTTATACTTGTATATTATTATTATTATTATTAGTATCATCATGCGCCTCTCCCACCCCACTTGACGCGACGAAGACTAATGACGACGACGACGACAACGGCCACTGTTCGTGGCACTAAAAAAAAAAAAAAAGTGATAATAAAACCCAATTGCGCATACAATGGAATTGCACATGAAAATACCGCTCATAATAAAATATACGCGCGCGCACGACGGGAGATGGTGGAGTAGGAAGAGGAGAGAAAAAAGCAAGAAAAAAAAGAGTTATCGAGAACAAAGACCGTCTGCCCCTGGACGACAACGCATCGACAACTATCGATGATGTTGAAAAAGCCGATCGATCGATCCCGGGGCCGAATCCTGTATTATTATATAGACGTGCACCATGGGAGAGTGACGGCCGCGGGGGCTGCTGCAGCCGCAGACGGATTGGCGGACGGGAAGTGTGCGGGACGACGGGAGGAAGGATCCGAATTAAACGTTTCGAAGAAGAGAAGGAAAGGTAGAGAAAAAAAAATTGCCAACAGGACGGCCGTTATTTATTATAGGTATATATATATACATACGTCGGCCGTGATTGACACTCGGGGAATGTGGATCTCGTCCGTCTCCGGTGCGTCGCGAACTATACCTATACGTACACCGTATATACCGCTGTACACTAACCGATCGCCAATATTGTCATCGTATACGTAACGTGTGTGTGTGTGTGTGTTTACCTTATACCAGTAGTAGCCGCTTGTCGATTGTTACACTAATGCAGGTAACCCTTCTGCCAAGCCAAGCGAAACATGCGGTGAGAAAGGGCGGCCGTACAGGTCCGGACGAACACAAATACGTGTGTACAGGAGGAAGCTGACCCGCATGTCTAGATGATAATGTTATTCTATAAACACAAATCACTGTAAACGGTTTAATGCAAAGATTTTCGAAAACCGATGATTTTAAAAGTGCTCGCGGGAAAGACGAAAAAAGTTATGTACAAAATGTGGATGCGTATAGTTAACACGTATGGACACGTATTGTAAATTATTAATTCATCAGCGTTTATGAACGCAATTTACTAAATATATTTCATCTGTGTAATATGTAGAAAATATTCTACATATTACATAATCGTATTACGATAAATACGTGTTCGTTATGATAAAACATTTTTTTCTTCATTTCTCAAATCTTACACATATATAATATGTTACGTGTACCGTATGCGTCTATATCGGGCCATCTGTTCGTGAATAATTAGAAATCAAAATTTGAAACAATCACGCATTTTATTCGAATAGAAAAGTATATACTTCTATCCATAATAGAGCAATTGATTTTTTCCATTACTGGCAATCTGTAAATATTGCGGAGCGTCGGAGCTAAAAATAGAATATAGCTAACAGAAACCAGGGATCGATCATAACCGCATTATCTGGAAAGCATTAGATTCACGAGTGTCCAAAAGACTCGGACTATATGTTTGAATCGCAGAGTGTGTGTATGTGTGTGTTCTACACAGAGTTCACAGAAATAATGGAAAAATGCAATTTTTTTTCGATCAGTGAATAGAAAAACAAACGATGTAGTGACAATGATACACACGCTGGAAATACGTATGGACGATGTTCTATATTATAAATTATTATATTTGTGAATAGATACCATGTGAGAGGCCAGTGCGGTTTAAACGACACACATAGGTACACTCGGATTCTGACAAACCGGCCGATAGGTAGTACTTCAAAGAATAAAAATATTAATAGGCACACGTAATAATATACGAACTATTTTACCGGCCCTTACGCATAGGACCGCCGTCTTGAGCGCGCCGTTATAGAGGTGTACTCGTTTGTAGTCGTGAGTCGACTGATTTTTTATTATAATTGGTTGCCTAAACGAAACCATGTGCGCATACAATTACACAAATTTATCGTCGACTATATATACCGACTGCATCGTGTTATTGATGTCTTTTAGGGATTCGTGGCCAGTGATTTTCATCAGTATTCCACTAATTTCACGTATATTTCAACGCCAGATCGAAACGCAGAACCGTCGGTGAAAACGTAAACAATAAAAAAAACCATATGGTCGATTAATTTTATAGTGCGAACCCGAAATCTACCAAACTGACAGTCGCATTAAAATGAATGATTGCTGCAGTAGCGGCAAAGCGGAGTAGAGCAACCTCCGAACCTTGACCTCGGGACTCGGAAGTCGTCAGCCTTTTATTAAAATTGAAAATTGTATTATTTAAGAAACGCACGGCGGTCTTTCTGCGAACGATTGTTTTAATGATACGAAAGTAATTTTTTATATGTACAATATGTAGTTAGAGTCGACGAAAACAAACACACAACAATGTAATATTAGACGTACAATAACGGGCGATTGATTACGTATGTTGTACATTATGTACTCGCTGCTGAACACGAAAAGTTTCAAATGCCTATATTAATACGAGTTTTTAATTAAACGAGTACGAGTC